TGCTGGGATTAAAGGCGTGCATCACCACCACCCAGCTACAGCTAAGGTTTTTATTTTCTTTCTGTATGCATTCATTCTGTATGTGTTACATCTCCCGCTGTCTGTTATCTCCTTTCAACCTGTGGCCTGGGATCAAACATGACTTCAAGTATGCTGTGTAGATGCTCTGCTCTGAGCCTTGCTCTCAGCCCACACAAAGAGTGTAGATGCTCTACAACCCACTTTACTTCAGAAGTACCTGAACCCAACGAACAGGAAAGATTCTTAGAAAACACCCAACAATCGGAATCCAAGTAGGACCCGCTGGGGAAGGGTGATGTTGAAGACCTATCCTGAACATTCACCATAGAGCCACAGCAGAGAGAAACAACAAAAGTACCGTGGACACCACGCCTGCGAGAGACTATAGCACGGGTCACTTCAATACACTCTAAGATACTAAGGTTTGATGAGTAAGCACAGGGCATACTCCATATATTCCACTGTCTACTACGAATCTGCCTGATTACCTAGAAATACTCCATTCTTGTGACACCCACAGGGAATGAAAAACACAGGATGCGCTGAGACTGTGTCCAAATACACAAATTGCCATCAATGAAACGGCAGGAAAACTTTACAACAAAACCCAACTGGGATGCATTCAACACTTCCAAACAACCTGACAGCCCAAAGAGGCTGGTTCCTGACACAACTTAGGCATAAAAGTGGAGGAGTCCAAACAGATGCTCAAATATCAACATCAACAGAGGAGCACAAGAAACCCGAGAGAACAAAACAATGTGGCTCTTCCCAAAGGTCACGATTCTCAATAGCTAACCTCAAGTACACGAAAGAAGATGAGACACCAAACAAACAGCTCAAGGGATTGCTTTCCAAGAGACATGAATTACAACAGAATACAGAAAACAATTGAGTAGTGATAGTAAAGTATGTAAGTGGGAAGTTCAGTGAAGAAGTACACTTTTTAAAAAAGAACCATGGAAATCTTGGAAGTGAAAAGAACTCAAATAAAAAACTCAGTGTAAGGTATCACAAACAGACCATGTGGGAAAGGGAATTCTGAGGCTTGAGGATAAGGGTCACTAATTAGAACACCCACAACACAATAAAAAAATAAGAAATTATGTATGAATATATGAGTCTCTGGGACAAATATACTTACCTCGGGCACAGAAGATATCAAGGCCCAAAATAAAGACTTAGAAAATCTAATCAGTGAAATAATAATAGAAAATTACCCAAATCTTGAAGCAATGTTGGACATACGACTTCAGGAGGCATTTAGAATCCCAAGCAGGCATGCCCAGAAATTCACATCAAGTTAAGTTAAAATGCCAAGAAGACAGAATGAAGAAATCTTTTAAGAACTGCCAGAGAGAAGTGCCAACTCACTAAAAATGGCAAATCCATTAGAATAATAGATTTCTCAACAGAGACTCTGAAAGCAGGGAGGTCATGGAATAATGTATCTCAAGTCCTGGAAGAAAACAGCAGCCAGCTTAAATTACAGCAGTTATCCTTCTGAACTGAGGAAAACCAAAGAGCTTCCAAGAAAAGCACAGACTAAAGGATTTCCTGACCATCAAGGTAATAATGCTACATAAAGGCACCCTACCCACAGAAAAGGAAGGTAAGCAAAACAGTAAGAACACACAAGAGAAAAGGTCCACTAGAACTGAAGAGCAAATGATAATTAGAAAAAACAAACAAAATGCAGAAATGACTTACATGTTTCATTTATGGTCTTGCATGTAAATGACTTAATGCTCCAGTTAAAAGGTGTAGACTGGCTGATCATTTAAATGCAATATCTAACAGTTTACTGCCTGCAAGAAACACAGCTCACTGGAAAAGATATTCACAAATTGAAAGTGAAATGGGTAGAAAAGTATATTCTAAGCAAGTGGAATCTAGAAGCAAGCCATACTTATATCTGACAAAACTGACTTCAAGTCTAAGGTACACATGAGACAATCCCCATGGCTTGGTGGTCTATGAGTGGCCAATGAATGAATGAACAACATGAGCATAATTGCTGATTTTAATGGGATGTCAGCCTATATTTCAATTAAGCAGACTATTAATATTCTATGCTTACATTACCACAGTGTTTCTAAAATGTGATTCTTAGGCTATCAGCATCAGCACCAACATTCACAGAAATGCAAGGTCTCATACTTGGGTGCAGACTCCAAGAGTGAAGTCAGCAGCTTAGTTTTAATAAACCTTCCAGGTAGGTCTGTTGTCCCTGGATATTTTAGACCCACCACACAGCCAAAGTTTGCATCCCCCTCTGAGGAAAAAAAACCTCAGAGTATTTGGGAAGTGGTAAGAGCTCTCCAGTGTTGACAGAGTCAACAGTGTGCACACAGTGAGTCCTGACTGGAGGTTTAGGGGTCATGATCTTCATGGGGACCTGATCCCTCAGAATCACTCAGCCAAGTTTGTTCCCCAAACTATTACATATGCACAGCCATAGCTTTAAGGATGGAGGTGTTGCTGCTGGCCTGCACAGTTGGGAAGAAGACAATTACTCTGTCGGGTGAATAACTTGACGGCTTAACTGAAAAGCAACAGTGAGAACTAGATGAGTGAATTGTCAGCTTGAAGATTTGAGTTGTAGGAGATATTCTGTTCTCTGACCAAGCTCATTAGAGCATGCCCCATCCTGATTCCTTGGACTGTTCCTTTGTGGGAAAATCAAATAAGGTCTGAGAATGAGAGCAAAAAGTCAGTGCAGGTATCTCAGGCTTGCACAGGAGGGTCTGGCAGGGGAGTGGAACCTGCAGCAGGGTTTGGGCAGAGTCAAAGATGAGTTAACTGTTGTCAGGACAACAGCACCAGAGGCTAGAGTCCACGTTAGACAAAGCAAGAATTCCCTCAGACTTTTAGAAACCTCAAATTCAACTTGAACTTGAAGGGGGAGGTAATTTCTGAAATTCCAACAAGAACGGCTTAGCAAGGATAGGAGGATACCTGGGGCTTGCTGGAAAACCAGTCTAGCTAAATCTGTGAGCAACAGATTCAGTGTGAAACTGTGTGTCAAAAAATAAGGATGGCCGGGCGGTGGTGGCACACGCCTTTAATCCCAGCACTCGGGAGGCAGAGGCAGGCAGATCTCTGTGAGTTCGAGGCCAGCCTGGTCTACAGAGCAAGTTCCAGGACAGCCTCCAAAACAATACAGAGAAACCCTGTCTCAAAAACCGAAAAAAAATAAGGATGGAGAGTAATTGGGGAAGATACCCAACTTGGGACCTCCACATGCACATGTGTACATACAAACATATATATATGTACAGTATACATACACAAGCGCATAAACACCATCAATACCCACACATTTAAAAGGCATATGCTAGGCAGTATTTGGAGAATTGGAGAAAAATAACACTTGTCCTCCCTAGACAAGTGATAAATGCTAGAGGGTACCCGGTTTTCATGCCTTGTGGACTATGCTGTCTTATCCTGTCTGGATCTTTCTCACATCAGGAAGGCAGGCACCAGACGCCAGAAGACACCCCTGAACTACAGACATGACACGGTTTTTAATGAGCCTTGGAGATTTCTTTTAAAAAATTAATGGGGAAAATTGCTCTTGTCTTCTAATTGAGTTTGGCAAAATAGCTTTGCTTTCTGTGTTCGAAGAAAGGTCAGTGGGAAAGGTCACCAGCACGGGCCCAAGAAGCTTCCTGGTGCTTTTTGGAAAGTTGTGTTTACTCTCCAAGGCCTGAAAAATTATCTAGCAGCATTTTTGGGTGCTGGGAGGGTGGCATGAGGTTGGCATTTTGTTTCCTGTTTTCCCTTGGTTTGGTTCACTTTTGCTGTTGTTTGTGGGATTGTTTTATTTTGCCTTAAATCCTCTCTCTTAGTTTGCAAGAATGAGGCTCCACACTATTTGCCTTAGTTAGGGTTACTATTGCTGTGATGAAACACCGTGACCTAAAGAAATTTGGGGAGGAAAGGGATTATTTCAGCTCACACTTCCAGTTGCAGTCCATCACTGGGGGAAGCCATGGCAGGAACTCACTCAGGGCGGAACCTGGAGTCAGGAACTGAAGCAGAGGCTATGGAGGGGTGCTTATTGCTTCTGGCGTTCTCACTTCCGCTGGCTTGCTCAGCCTATTTCCTTACACATCCCAGGAGAAGCAGCTCAAGTGTGGCACCACCCACAGTGGGATGGGTACTCCTGTACCAACCATTAATCAAGAAAATGCACCACGGGTTTGCTCTGAATCCAGTCTGGTAGGGGCATTTCCTCTATCGAGGCTTTTCTCTTCTCCACTGACTTTAACTTGTGTCAGCTTGACAAAACACACACTAACCAGGACGCCATCTCAGAGTGGGGCCAGCTAGTTTCTCCTGGGAGCTGTGAGAAAGGGGGTCTACCTTGCCATGACTTACGATGCCTGCTTCCCCTATGCCATCATGTGATCTTGCCTCTGCCATGTCTGTGTCCTCTCTCTCTCTCACTCTGTCTCTCTCTCTGTCTCTCTCTGTGTGTCTCTCTCTCTGAATAAGTAGGTGTACATGTGTAAATGTGCATATCGAGGACACAGGTCAACCATGAATGTCATCTCTCTGGTGCTGTCCTCCTTGTTTTTTAGTTGGCCTAGAACACTCTAGACAGGCTAGCAAGAAAGCCCCAAGAATCTTCCTGTCTCTGCCACCTAAGTGCTAGGACAATAGGCATGTGCCATCATTTTCACATGGGTCAGGGTATCAAAATCAGGTCCAAATGATTTTAAGGCAAGCATACTATTGACTGAGCCATTTTCCCGGCCTCATACTTCCTCTTCTCACACAAACACCAGCCATCTTGGATTAGCAACCTCTCTGATGACATCATTTTAATTTGATTAGCATTGTAGAGACCCTATCTGTGAATATGATCATATTCCAGAGTGCTGGGAGGTGGGACTTCAGGATATGAACTGTGAGGTTGGGTAAAATTCAACCCCAAATGTCCCTGGACCTCATTCACATACAATCTTGCAAACTGGAGGTGAGAAAGCAGTATTTACTTGGCACCTCTGCTAGAAAATAGCCCATTTCCACCTAGGACATAAGAAGTTTCCAGTTTTCAAATGGTATCCACTCTTGGTGAAGCCTACCCCAGGGATGCGCCCTGGGAAGGTATACATGTTTCCTCTCTCAAGCTGCTTATCTTTAGTTGCCAATATTTTAAAGATCTGGAGCCACAGGCAGTCCTGTCTTCATGAGCTTCCTTATCAGATAGACAAGGTGCTCCTCCTACTGCTGAAGGTGGCACTGGCGTGTCCTCTTTCACTCTGGACACTATATATAAAGCCCAAGACTCTTTGGTAAGATTTCTCAGTTCTCACTGTGCCCAGCATGCTGTAAAAATCTCAGAACTGCTCAGGCTCAGGCTAAGAAATGCTGGAAGACTCTGCTCCTGGGGGAAGGAGAAACAACAGGAGGGGAGTTAAACAAAACTCAGTGCTTCGAGTAAAATGCAAAGGGAAACCCCTCCCCCAGGCCCCTCTTGCCCTGGGCAAAGCACCTGAGGGTTTAGAGAACCTTTCCAGCAGCTTCTTTGCCTTGGAGACAGGTAGAGGAGCTCTCCTCCTTGGAGATCTTTTGGGGGAGAGACAGAGCCTTCTGTTCTGTTCTGTTCTGATCTGTTCTGTTCTGTTCTGTTCTGTTCTGTTCTGTTCTGTTCTGTTCTGTTCTGTTCTGTTCTGTTCTGTTCAGAGTCTCTATATACACACATTGGAGCTGATCACCAGAGTTGCATGGTGTCAAGGTACCTGTGCATTCTCACGCTGTCCCGAGTGGACAAACTGCCAGCTGTGGTGTCTGCCCTAGCCAAAGCAAGAGTTTCACTTGGTCTTTTGGATAAAGTAAGTTTTTCTTAGCTCAACTTTAAGATCAACTAGGGAGCCCCTTCTCAGGTCATCTTCACTGATGGCTGAACCCAAGAGCTGTGTAATGGCATGGACTTGAGTTTCAGGGACCCCAGGGCTGTGCCTTCTTCGCCTTGGAGGAAGTCCAAGTCCTGACCTTCCCTTCTAGCTGCAGCTGGTCCTCTCCCAGCCATCTTCATGTTCCAATCCATGTTTGTGATAATTAGGGGCCCTGAAGAATATTAAGGGATCACATTGGGAGAACCAATAGGTAGAGCTTGGTAGCTGGCCAAGGAGGCTTGTGGGCTGGGAGGGAGGTGTGTGAGTTGGAAAGTGAGAACATAGGTGTTCAGAAGAGTCACCTAGCAACAACAGAAGCTGTTCCAGGCCTTCCACAGACACAGAGGAGAAGCGGAAGCACGTTCCCACGGAAGCTATCACCTCACTGCAAAAAAGACCCTCAGCTGCGCCCCTTCCTCCTCCCCCTTCTCCTTTTAACAACAGCTCTTTGAGAATTTAGCTTATTCATTCTAAAAGATGAAAACTTCCAATACTTAGGAGGGTCCTGGCAGGAGAATTTAGCAGATGGCACAGAGCAAGTGTCCTATAAGTAGAGGGTCCCTCCAAGCCAGAGGCTCTAGAACAGCTTCACCTCGCAACCATCTACAGGGAAGTGGCAAGGAAGATGTATGCACTAAGCTCTGAGACCATTTCAGGCCTAGAGTAGGAACCACTCTTGCCCTGGCATGACTGCCCGCTCTTACAAACTGTGGGACCCGAAACAAGCCCGTAGACTCTCCAGTGTCACCTATGTCGTTGTTATGAGGAGTAAGCAAGTAAATCATCGTGCATTAACACCCTCCATGGGGGCACATAGTCACTATTCTGCACATTCTATCTCTCTTTATTACCACGTTTATTCCCCCATAGCACTAGGTTAGGATCATGCCTGTGGTTAGATCATGCATAGACATTTAACGGGGATGGATGGCTTTTTCTTGGATCTTTCGACTTCGTCTTCCTCGCCTAAGCAGTGGAAGTGAGGATCCCCTATCCTGTGATCTATAATAACACAAATTGAAACGCTTACCATCGATTCAAGAGTATGCTGTCTTGTCAGCCCTTGTTCCATCGTGGGTTCTAATCCTGTGTTTCAAGCAATTATTTGAGCTCCCTGTGCTCCAGAACAGGGATAAACAAGGCAGACACCTTACAGGCTCTTACAAAGTTTTAAAAGGATCTACCAAATGATAGCATGTGTGGCATATCATCAACACAACAGATATTTTATGACGTTCCCCTTTAATTAGAACAGGTATTGTTGCCATTACTACCAACAGCAGTGTACCCGGTGATTTCCTCTAGTTCTGCCAGGCAAGCTGAAATGCAGGTGTCTCCTTCCTGTTCAATGAGTTTTCCAATCCAGTACCTCCCATTGGTAACACAAGGTGATGGTATTGTTTTCCTTGCCAGGAAAAGTCAGTGAGTGATGGCGCCAGAGGTAAAGATATGTGTCCTGCACGGGACTAGTTCATGCAACAGCACCAGTGAGTTGGTCTGTGAGGGAACTTTCTAAGACGTCACAGCTTCCAGCCTTAAAAGGTCACCCTAAGAAGCAAAAAGGCTGTTTGATTTAGCTTCCCACTGTTGTGACAACAGATTACTGTAGATTTAGCTAGCAAAACAGCACAGAGACATCCTCTCCTCACTTTGGAGGTCAGAAGCTGTTGTAACTTGAATGAGAAATATTCCCCATAGGATGTAATTGAGAATACTTAGTTCCCAGTTGGTGGCTGTACTGCTTAGTTTTGTTTTGTCAACTTGACACAACCTAGAGTCATTGGGAAGATGGAGCCTCAATTGAGAAAATGCCTCCATAAGACTTGTCTGTTGGGCATTTTCTTAATTAGTTAGTGATTGATGGTGGAGGGCCCAGCCCATTGTGGGTTGTGCCATCATTGAGCTGTTGGTCTGGCGTTCTGGAAGAAAGCAGACTGAGCAAGCCACGATGAGCAAGTCAGTAATCACGGCCTCTGCATCAGCTCCTACCTCCAGGTTCCTGCATTAGTTCCTGCCCTGACTTCCTATGGGGATGGACTGAGATATGGAACTGTAAGCTAAAACAGACTATTTCTTCTCCAAGTTACTTCCAAGACAATGGTGCTGTTTCACAAGGCTGTGGAATCGTTCTAAGTGGGGTCTCACTGGCGGAAGTCCATCACTGGGGAAGACCTTGGAAGTTTATAGCCTGGATCACTTCTTCTTTGCTCTCTCTACTTCCCTGTGCAGATGAATGTGATTGGTCTGTCCTGACTATCAGACTGGCCTCCTGCTGCCATGACTTCCTGCCATGCAGGACTGGGAACCAGATAAACCCTTTCTTACCTAACTTACCTCTTGTCAGGATAGTTTATCATAGCAACAGAACAGTAACTAATACAGAAGCCAGGTGTCAGGGTGGAGGCTAGTCCACATCCCCATGGAGTCTCTGAGAAGCCGAGTGTCAGGGTGGAGGCTAGTCCACATCCCCATGGAGTCTCTGAGAAGCCGAGTGTCAGGGTGGAGGCTAGTCCACATCCCCATGGAGTCTCTGAGACAGCATTGTGTCCTTGCCACTTCTAGCTTCTGGGGGCCACCTTTCTCACCTTGACTTTGCCCTTTTCATGAACTTTCAAAGCCAACATCTGACTTTCTTACATTCTTCTCCTGAGACCCTGTAGTCACAATGAACTAACCACAACATCTGACTTTCTTACATTCCTCTCCTGAGACCCTGTAGTCACAATGAACTAACTACAACAATCCAGTACAACCTCCCCATTTCAAGATCCTTCATTATCACACTTGAAGAGTCCCTTCCAGTCAAAGGTGGCACATCCACACACATCATCATCAGGACATGAGGTCTTAGAGGAGCCATTATGCAGCCCATCACACAGAATAATTCTGAGTGCCCACAGATCGCATCCAAAATTGCCTAGGACAATCTGTAAACACCAAAGAGAGACCCTGAGATGCCACTTTGAAATGTTGCCTACTTATATCAGGGCCAACATGTAGGGCTTTAAAGATGTCCCTGGGCTCAGTTTCAGGAGACACAGAGTAGGCATAGTCAATAAATATTGCAAAACCTTAAATGACTAATGGCCTTGACTTCTCCACCTGAGTCTTAACTTGGTTTTTGAATTAGTTGGTTTCCTCATTGCTGGAATTAAATATCCAACAGAAATCAATTTAATAGAGCAGGGATTTAATTTTGGCTTATGGATTGACAGCACACAGTCCATCAAAGGAAGGAAGGTATGACAACAGAAATGTAAGGCTGCTTGCACACATCCAGGTAGACAAGAAAACAGGAGAGATTAATGTTGGAGTTTCTATTTAGTCAGGTTCATGGGAGAACACCATAGCTCTTACCCCCTCAGGTAATCATTCTGGAAATGCCCTCACAGGCATACCCAACCATGTGCCTCAACTTCCTAATCTAGTCAAACTGATTGAAATTAACCACCACAGGTCTTTCAGGTATGAATTGGAGACGCCTGCCTCCCATATACCTTCCATGGTTTTCAGAACTGTGTCTTAAGGGGAACACAGTGACAGCACCATCCAAATCCAGTTGCGGCTACTTCTGATATCAGAACAGTGCACCCAAAGGCCAAGAGGTGACCATCATCATGCCTGCCATGTGCCTGTGTTGCTTTTGCAGCAGATTTGACTTAAGACTTGTAAACTCCACAATTGTAGACACCCTAATCTCACTACCATTACCGAATCAACTCTAGTAGTAAGCACAAGAAAGCCAGGCACCTGGTCTGTCTTGCTCAGTACTCTATCCCTACGGCATGCAGAAGGCCAGGAAATCTTTATTGAACAGAGGAAATGACTTGTCTTGGAGTAACCTGTCAACTCTGAACTCCTCCATGGCAGAGACATCTTGATTCAGCAGCCGCAGTACAATGCCTAACACAAGGGCAGCCCTCGGGGAGTTGTACTCGTTTCTTGTAACTGTCGTAATAAACTACCATAAACTTAGCTGTGAAAGAAAAGTGTTCCCTCACAGTTTTTCAGCCTAGAAGTCTGAACCCAACATGTGAACAGGGCTAACCCTCTTCCACACACTCTAAGAGAGAATGCTTCCTCACCATTTCCAGCCACGGAGGCGGTGGGTCTTTGACCTGTAGCAACGGAACTCCAACTTCTACACCCATCCCTCTGTGGACTTCTCCTCTCCTTCCTGGGAATTTTTCTGTCGTCAAAATCCTTGAGATGAGCAGTCAGGTAGTTGGCTCAGTAGGAAAGAGGACTTGCTGTACAAGCACAAGGACCTGAGTTTAGATTCCCAGCACCCACATGACAAAAGCCAGGTGTGGCTGCCCATGCCTATGACACTAGAATTGGGGGGTGGGGTAGATGGATCTTGGTAGCTTGCTGGCCTAGCTGGTTCAGTGAGAAGCCCTGTCTTAAGGAAATAAGGCAAAGAGAGATAGAGAAAAATGACCAATGCTGTTCTCTGGTCTCTTCATATATGTGCACCGGCACCCCAACCACACTCTCACATACATGCATAACACACACACACACACACACACACACACACACACACACACACACACACGAATATATATAATAGATAAGTAAATATCCCTAATGGTTACTTCTCAGGGTGGGGGTGGGGAAGCAACCTTTGTAGCAAATAAGGTAACATTAAATAGGTACCAGATGTGAGGATTGGAATATATTGGAGGCCATTTTACAACTCACTATAGAAATTCAAATTGAGCATCCCTAACCTTAAAATGCAAAATTCAAAATGCTCTGAAATCTGAAACATTCTAAAAAGCTCAAAACTTTCCAATTTTTGGAACATTACAGATTTTCAGCCCTCATATTTCCCTAGGAATAGAATCTAGGCAATTCTTCCAAAACACGAAACATTCTGAAATTTGTAGCACATTTGATCCTGGATTCCAGATAACATGTATTAGGTTTGTAGTTGTTGAGTAAACAAATTAGTAAAGTGGGTATTCCCTTGACTTCTTAAGTACAGCTGAACCTGAGCCCCACTAAAAGGAAAAATTCTTGGGGGTCCAGACATTATGTATCCCAGGGGTCTCTGGGCTTGGGTATAAGTGGTACCTCCAGGGAAATGGAGATGCCTGTCTTTGGTTAGGGAAGCTGATGGTTTGAAAGATATAGAACAAAGTGAAAATATTCACACTTACATTGGAAGGACAAGATGCCCCTACCATGGTAAAAAGCCCCAGTAGGGCCCTGTGTATGAAGAAAAGGTATGGTTACAAAGAAATCATCCAGGCAGAGTCAACTAGAATAAGTGAGACCTGGGTGAGTGCAGTGTCTGTCCTCTGCAGAGTGGTTAATGGAGCTTATTCAGTACCTGGGATGTCCATAGCCAGGCTCTTCAGCATGGAACCAGCCCATCAGAACTCATTAACCCAAGCTCTCCTTGAAGATGAGGAATTTCGGACCCATAAAACACACACACACACACACACACACACACACACACACACACACACACACACGTGTAGAGCTGGCCAATGACACATCAATGGCTGCAGACACACTCCTCCTCCCGGTCCCCACGTTTCCTCTACACAAGAAGCATCACTGTGGCCTCTGTGTGGGCCCCACACTCACGTGACCATGTTACCCAGAGTCACCCAGGCCCCATGAGTGGTAAGAAGGTGACAGATGTGATCAGAGTTCAGCGCAGAACTCCAGCGCTGCTTAAAATAAAGCTAACCCAGGGCATGAATAATAAGTGGTTGCTGAAATATTGATTCGGTGAAATTCTTCTGGTAGAACATGCTATCCTTTTTTGGAAGAAATTTTTGATATGTGTCATCGGGAGCCATGACTTCATGGAAGGGGGAACCTGCCCAGAAGACTCAGGAAGACACCAAGAGGAGAAAGAGAAAAGAAGGAAGAGAGAAGTAAGCTGGGGAGGAGATGGCCATGGAGCAGACCGGAAAATGGTGAGTAGCAGGGGGTTTAAGAAGAGGAGGGGTTGCAACAGCAGCCCTGGAGTCATTGTTTTGTTGCTGCCAACATTTCACTGTCCTGCTGCTTCTGCACCCTAAACTCCACCGCCTGGCTCCTCCCTGAAGGCCCTCCATTATGCAGCGTTTTCCTCAGGCCTGCAGAGGTCCATTCAGCCCTCGCGTGGTCGTCCTTCTAGTCACTGTCACACAGGCCAACTTCATGTCAGCACCCACTCCTGTGTCACACCACAGATGTCCTGTAGAGTCACCTTCCCTCAAGAGGGCGACAACAGCTTAGGGTTATCCCAGTGCCTTTGTCTTCTGTCTGGCTGGGAACTCACTGGGCTTTGCTGACCCACTTGTCCAGGGAAGCGCCCATCCTTGTTTCAGGAATCTGCCACTGTCCTGATTCCCATCTTTCTTCCTTGCTGCCCCCTCTCTGTCTTCTTTCCTCCTCTGCCTCCATGGAGGGTCACAGAAGGCTCAGCACTCGCCCTGGTTTCTCTCCAGCTCTGCGCTCTACAGACCTATTACTCATGTAGCACATGAGTTCTCCGTCGAGTTCTGGGGCTGTGTTCTGTGCACGCTTGTGTGTTAGGCTGTAGTTCTCCTTGTACCACTTCAGGGTCCCTTGTCCCCACACCACGTCATGTCGTTCCATAATCTACAACACACACACACACACACACACACACACACACACACACACACAGAGAGACAGAGAAGCTCAGCAACAGAGAGCAGCAGAGAGACAGAGACAGACAGAGGCACACATGCTTACCTATACAGAGGCACAGTGGCATACAGAAGGAGTTACATACATACATCAACACATATATGTGTACACTCAGCTTACACTTAGTCACCACTCAGTCGTTCACTAATGTGTACACACTCCTTTTCTTTTCTTTTTTTTTCTTTTTTCTTTTTTTGGTTTTACGAGACAGGGTTTCTCTGTATTGTTTTGGAGGCTGTCGGTCCAGCCCGGCCTCGAACTCACTGAGATCCGCCTGCCTCTGCCTCCCGAGTGCTGAGATTAAAGGCGTGCGCCACCACTACCCGGCCACACTCCTTTTCTTTAGGACTGCAAACTTCGGAATAATTCTTGATTCCTCCTTCTTACACTCCCCTAGTATCCTGGTAGACATCAGGTCCTACGCATAATCCACAAATACTCCTGAAGCACTCATCTTAAAAATGTGCCTGGCCAAAGTGTCCAGACCTCTGAGTCCCAGCCATTAAACTCAGTATTGGTTGACTGAGTAGCTCAGTACAGAACTGTTTTCTCAGCTGCCAGGTGGAGTTTTGGCATAGGTGAGCTGTACCTGGCAAGCCCTACCAGCTCCTACCATTTCCTATCCCAGTTTTATTCTCTAACAAAACCCTGAGTGTATTTCTGCCCTAAGCAGCTGTATGTTCAACCATAAAGTTGCTTACTTCTAGAAAACCAGTTCTATCCTAAGAATGACACAGTTGCATCCTACTGGCCCTCCTGGTCCCAAGACGTTAGCTTCCTTAAGTGCCCAGCCAGTCCTCCATGCAGAAGATGTGATAGAAAAGCATGAGTGGTTCATACTTAGCACAGAGAAGACAGACCCAGGAGCCTGCTGGATCCTAATTCATGTGTGACTCAGAGCCTGAGACACAGCCCAGGCCTCTGAACTACTGCACAGACTGTTGTGCAATAACATCCTTTATCTGTATGCAAATTTCTCCCACCAACCCTGGTCTCCCTCACGAGCTGGAAGGTCAAAGTATGAGACAGACCTTCAGAGAGGTGTGTGCACTCTCCCCTGGGTGTTCCCTTTCCTGTACCCAACTAGACATTCGGACATCATGACAGAAGTGGTTTCCATCCCCAAATTCATCTCTGCAATGCATCATGGACACAGTCCTCCCTCCCTTCATACAGTAAAACCTGGCTCCCCCAACAAACACTCAGATAAAGATGTTTTCCTACTGTTGAGTCCCTTTGCCAAGGTTTAGTGCTAGATGGAGAATCCCTTGGCTGTCCGTGAAAGGCTCCCCTGGGGATGGTTTCATGGTCTCCTGGGACCTGAAGCTGAGGTCATGGAGGCTGCACTGTACAAGTTAGGGAGTTCATGCCTGGGGAGATGGCTCAGCTGGTAAAGCGTTTGCTGGGCAAGCACAGTGACCTGAGTCTTGAGCCCCAGCCCAAAGTGTAAAAGCTGTCCTAGTAGTGTGTGTCTGTAATCCCAGCACGGGTAGAAGCGGGGACAGGGACAGGCAGACTTCTGCAGCTCATTGGCTAGCCAGTCTAGCTGAATTGGTGAGTTTAGAGAGAAACTCTGCCTCAGAAATAGAGGAGGGTGACTGAGAATGACAATTAGTCTCTCTCTGTCTCTCTCTCTCTGTCTCTGTCTCTGTCTTTCTCTCTCTCCCCTCTCTCCCTCAATCCCTCTCTCTATCTGTGTCTCTTCATTCCTCTTTCTGTCTCCCCATCCCTCTCTCTGTGTCTCTCTGTCTCTTTCTCCCTACCTCCCTCTCTCCATCCATCCATCTCTCTCTGTCCTTTCCTCTCCCCTCTCTCACACTCAAAGTCCATTATGAGCTACCATCCAAACAAAGAACACTTGAAACTTCCAATAAAGCTTCAGGCAGAGAACCACCCACTAGGCCTGGACAAGTTCCCAGAGGTGTGCAGTCAGTGAATGTCCCAAGTTCCTCTACTCACCTAACTCCATTCATACTGGCTTATGCTTCCCAAGAAGGAGCTAAACCATGGATGGGGTACAGATCACCCCCAAGAACCTGACCAGGACCCAATTCCTCAAGCACCATCCAGCACTATGACCAGCTGTTGCCAAAACTTGGAAGACTCCTAAACATCCAACTCAGGCTTACCCAGCAGCAGGTACCCTGGCCAGGAAGCTGCAAAGCTGCTGCTTCCCTCGGGATCTTCTCCCCACCTAACAGCCAGACTGAAAGAGGGTGGAAGGAACGATGCTTCGGAACGCCTCTGCTGTGCACGGAGACCCGAGCCCCAGGCAGCTGGCAGAGAAGCTCAGACTGAGTCAGTCCCATTCAGAGGCCCAGTTGCCCCGAGTGCAGCCTTGTGGCTGTCCTCAGCCAAATGCTGCTACCCTGTCTTCAACTAAACTGAAAAATTACCGACCATCTGAAGAGGGGGTGCCATTCACACACATTCCACTAGAGGTCAGCCCTGAGAGAGGGCAAGACTCAGCAAGTCCTCCTGGACAGTGTAAGGTCAGGACAGGGGCTCCCCTTGTCCTGACCTTACACTGTCAGGATCCCCTGTCCTGACCTTACACTGTCAGGATCCCTTGTCCTGACCTTACACTGTCATGATCCCCTGTCCTGACCTTACACTGTCCTGACCTTACACTGTCCAGGAGCCCCCTGTCCTGACCTTACACTGTCCAGGAGCCTCTTGTCCTGACCTTACACTGTCAGGATCCCCTGTCCTGACCTTACACTGTCCTGACCTTACACTGTCTGGGAGCCCCTGTCCTGACCTTACACTGTCTGGGAGCCCCTGTCCTGACCTTACACTCTCCGGGAGCCCCCTTGTCCTGACCTTACACTGTCTGGGAGCCCCTTGTCCTGACCTTACACTGTCAGGAGCCCCTGTCCTGACCTTACACTGTCCTGACCTTACACTGTCAGGAGCCCCTGTCCTGACCTTACACTGTCCAGGAGCCTCTTGTCCTGACCTTACACTGTCCTGACCTTACACTGTCTGGGAGCCCCTGTCCTGACCTTACACTGTCTGGGAGCCCCTGTCCTGACCTTACACTGTCAGGAGCCCCTGTCCTGACCTTACACTGTCCTGACCTTACACTGTCAGGAGCCCCTGTCCTGACCTTACACTGTCAGGATCCCTTGTCCTGACCTTACACTGTCATGATCCCCTGTCCTGACCTTACACTGTCCAGGAGCCCCCTGTCCTGACCTTACACTGTCCAGGAGCCTCTTGTCCTGACCTTACACTGTCAGGATCCCCTGTCCTGACCTTACACTGTCCTGACCTTACACTGTCTGGGAGCCCCTGTCCTGACCTTACACTGTCTGGGAGCCCCTGTCCTGACCTTACACTGTCTGGGAGCCCCTGTCCTGACCTTACACTCTCCGGGAGCCTCTTGTCCTGACCTTACACTTTCAGGATCCCCTGTCCTGACCTTACACTGTCAGGAGCCCCCTCTCCTGACCTTACACTGTCTGGGAGCCCCTTGTCCTGACCTTACACTGTCAGGAGCCCCCTCTCCTGACCTTACACTGTCCAGGAGCCTCTTGTCCTGACCTTACACTGTCAGGAGCCCCTGTCCTGACCTTACACTCTCCGGGAGCCCCTGTCCTGACCTTACACTGTCTGGGAGCCCCTGTCCTGACCTTACACTCTCCGGGAGCCCCCTTGTCCTGACCTTACACTGTCTGGGAGCCCCTTGTCCTGACCTTACACTGTCAGGAGCCCCTGTCCTGACCTTACACTGTCCTGACCTTACACTGTCAGGAGCCCCTGTCCTGACCTTACACTGTCCAGGAGCCTCTTGTCCTGACCTTACACTGTCAGGATCCCCTGTCCTGACCTTACACTGTCCTGACCTTACACTGTCTGGGAGCCCCTGTCCTGACCTTACACTGTCTGGGAGCCCCTGTCCTGACCTTACACTCTCTGGGAGCCCCCTTGTCCTGACCTTACACTGTCAGGATCCCCTGTCCTGACCTTACACTGTCCTGACCTTACACTGTCTGGGAGCCCCTGTCCTGACCTTACACTGTCTGGGAGCCCCTGTCCTGACCTTACACTGTCAGGAGCCCCTGTCCTGACCTTACACTGTCCTGACCTTACACTGTCAGGAGCCCCTGTCCTGACCTTACACTGTCAGGATCCCTTGTCCTGACCTTACACTGTCATGATCCCCTGTCCTGACCTTACACTGTCCAGGAGCCCCCTGTCCTGACCTTACACTGTCCAGGAGCCCCCTGTCCTGACCTTACACTGTCAGGATCCC